GCCCAGCTCAAAGTCAGCTCGAGCTTGGAGGATAGACGCACTCTGCGAAGACTAGGTGATAGGAGGTTAGGCGCTATCCGAAGGGTGCTGGCTGGAGGGGGCCATAAACAGGGGTTCACTATTCGCTCCGGGAATAAAACCTTAGCACAGACTGATGTTTGACGCGTGATGCATGTGTGTGTGTGAAGAGTGGTGGGACAGCGATCGGCGCACAACGGTATGTGGGTGACTTTAATCAGTATATGCACGGCGCGCGCACATACAAATAAATAATTAAATAGAGGGACGCTTGGCCGCGCCGCGAGCATAGCGCGCGGAGATTAATTGATTCCGAGCTCAGTCGGCTTGTTGACACAACGGCTTAGTGGAAATAATTAATTAACTCTAAACAGCAGCGAGCGGGGAGTCAAACAATATTTCCCAATCCGCGCAGTTAGGACACGCGAGCGGGGCGGAAGGCGCGAGCGTAATTAACCAATAGGCAGTGTCTGCCAGCCGCTGGCTATGTCAGTCAGCGAGGGCGCTGGTGCGGGGGTCCGGTCACCCGGTTGGGGGCGGGGATGGAGGGGGCAGACGTCGCACCCCACCCGCTCGCGGGGAGTGGGGAGAGGGAGATCAGCCCCTACCTAATGGGGAGTGGGGAGGGGGGCATTAGCCCCCAAACACGCGACAATCCCGGTACATGGATGAAGGTTGGATTGACAAATTGTGTGCTGAGAGTGGCACCTTATCCATGGACCAGATAGGGAAGCTGCGGGTGCTCTTGCATGAATTTTCGGATATTTTTGGCAAGAGAAAATTTGATTTTAGACGCACATCGCTCCTGCAGACATCATCTCACCATCCACCAGTCCCTGGGGAGCTCCGATTGTGCTTGTGAAGAAGCACGATGGTAGCTTACGATTTTGCGTTGATTTTCGGAAGCTTAATAAGGTTTCTGTTGCGGATGCATATCCCTTGCCTCGCATGGATGATTCGCTTGACGCGTTAGCGGGCGCACGTTTCTTTTCCACTCCCGATCTCCTATCCAGGTTCTGGCAGTTGCCGCTTGACGATGTTTCGAGTCCTAAGACGGCCTTTCGTACGCCTCAGGGATTGTTCGAATTTAATCTGCTTCCTATGGGGCTCCATTCCACGCCAGCCACGTTCCAACGTTTGATGGAACTGGTCCTGGCGGGTCTCCCGTGGGACTCGTGTTTGATATATCTGGACGATGTAATTGTCTTCAGCCACACTTTCGATGACCATTTGGTCCAACTGCGTGCCATCTTTCTCAAAATGCATGCGGCTAACCTTAAATTTCAATCTCAGAAATGTTACCTCCAGAAATTGGTTAGGTTTCTTGGCCACATTGTTAACGAATCGGGTATTGCGACCGACCCGGAGAAAACTGCGTGCGTTCGAACTTGGCCGACCCCCACCGCGGTGAGTGAGGTGCGCAGTTTAATCGGCTTTGCATCCTATTATCGCCGTTTCGTTGCTGGGTTCGCATAGATTGCGAAACCTCTCCACGCATTCATGGCTAAGGGTCATGAGTTTCATTGGGGGGAGGAGGAGGAGGCTGCAATTCATGCCATCCGCGATGGATTGGTGAACACCCCTCCTCTGCGTTATCCGGATTTTTCATTGCCGTTCATTCTGGATACGGACGCTAGCAATACCAGAATTGGGGCCGTCTTGTCGCAGGTTGTCGACGGGGTGGAGAGCGTTGTTGCGTACGGCAGTAGAGTGCTGTCTCCGGCCGAACAGTGGTTCTGTGTTACCCGCCATGAATTGCTAGCCATTGTGGTTTTCATGCAGCAATACTGCCCCTACTTGTACGGTAGAAAATTTGAGGTGCACTCTGTAATGCAGCGCTTCAATATGCGCTGCGTGTGGACCAGCCATCAGGCCAGTTATCATGCTGGCTGGAGATCCTGCTGGACTTCTCGTTCCATGTTACGTACCGCCATATGAACGCCAATGCCGTGTCGCGATTGCCAATGACTGGAGGTTGCGCGTGTTTTTCGGGTTCCGGGCGTTGTAAACTGACCGATGTAACCTCACTTCGCTTCCTCCTTTCGCGGCATCTGCCGATGCGGCGACAGGACAGGCGCCGGTCCGGTTGCATGGGATGTGGTCATTGGCCTGGATTACGAGGAATGGGGACGCCTTCAGGCAGAAGATGCTTCGCTACTCAAATTGCAGCGTCGTGTGAGGGAAGCTGATGGGGGCACGGATTGATGCGGCATCGCCTCGGTCATTCTGCGGGGTGACTTACTCATGCATTGGGACGGGGGACTTCACCGTTATACCATTATTGTCCCCACTGCCCTGCGAGGTGAGGTTGTTTGGGCTGTGCATGAGCGTCTCTTGCACCTGGGCGTGCAGAAGACGCTGGCCACGCTCAAACTGGATTTCTATTGGCCGGCCATGTCTGCGGATTTGGACAATTTGCTCAAAGGGTGCGTGCAGTGTGCTCGGTGGAAGTCGCCAGCGAAACCCTGCCGCCCCCCCTTGCAATCAGTTGTTGCTCTGGACATCCTTGGTCCATTCCCCACTACCGCTCGGGAGAACAAATACCTGCTTGTGGGGGTCGAGTATTTTTTATGATGGCCTGTCACCTGGCCGCTCCCTAATCAATCGGCTGTGACTATTACTGAGGGATTTCTCAATGGTTATGTTATGGACACAGGCGCTTCAGAACTCCTTTTGGCCGATCAGGGCAAGAATTTATCTTCTAAAATGTTGCATGAGGTCTGCGCTTTTTTGGGAACAAAGAAGATGCGCACGTCACCGTACCACCCGCAGATGGATGGCGTGGTCCAACGGCTACATAGGACTCTGACCTCCATGTTGAGTCACCAGGTCAGTGAGTCACAACTCGATTTGGACTTACATATTCCTACGGTCCTCGCCGCTTACAGGATGGCCCCACACGCGTCCACCGGCTACTCACCGTTTTTATGTATGGTAGGGAATATGACCCCCCCCCATTGACATGCAGTTGCAGGCCACGCCCAAAATGTATAAATCCAAGATATCTGACTCCGTTCATTTCACTCTTCAGAAGCTTTCCGAGGCACGGGAAGCTTCCAGGGTTAATTCCGAGTCGCGACAATTGGCAAACGAACTGCTTAAGGGAGTGCGTGCTTCTCTGTATGAATGGACACCTGGAGAAAAGGCTTGGTTGCGCTGTCCGCAGGTGCCAATGGGTACATCGCCTAAGTTACTCCAACCCTGGCGAGGGCCGGTCGATGTTGTTCGGGTTGTTCGACCACAGTAGTGTGTCCAGATCAACTTCGGTCGGCGGAGTTGGTTCGTGCATCCCTCTCGCCTGAAACCGTTTATCGCGCCACGCCAATTCGTTTCATCTCCATATTGCAGGGGCCGAGTGTTGAATGTGTCCGACGAGCCAGGGTGTGTACCCGCTGAGGTTGGTCCTCAGCGGAGCGGTTCTGTTCTGCCCCAGGTGCTGCGCGACTGACGTCTCCACCAATGGCCACGCATGCCGGCTTCGCAGGCTTTCAGCACAGGGGACCCGTTGACCCGGCCTACTGCTCTTCGTGAGGAGCCGGGTTCGGCGGAACATTTGCACATTCCAGGGTGAGCGAGCCCACCTCCCCTGGAGGCCCGGCATCACGGACTCGCTCAAAGACTCGTTTTTCGTGATCCCCTTAGACACACGCTCCCACGCTGTCAGTTGCTTGTCGTGCTCATTGAGTCATTGAGCTCACGAGCATCATTACGAGCTCACGAGCATCATTACACGGTGAAGGTGGGAGGTGTGGTGGTAGAGGGAATCCCGTGGGTTTACGCGTTATCCTTGTTGGGTGCTTTTGGTTGGGTTCATTGGTTTACACCCTTCTCCATGCGGGTTTTGTACATTTGTGGATAATGTTAATTTGGTACAGGTGAGTTAGGGTATTTTTGCTGTTCTTGTTATAGTTGAAGCACACTATGCTTTTTTCTTGCATTTCCCTAATTTGTTCATTGAAGGGGGAGTTCACAGCCGGGATGGCTGAATGCTACGAAGGGGGGGGGAACGGCGGCGGTGGAAGGCCTGGGGCGTTGGACGGGCGTCCTCTCGTTGTTCTCCTGCTGCATAACGGTGGCTAAGGCAGTGACGGCGGCCAGGAGGTCTCCCATAATGTCTTTCTTGGTCCGGTGCTCACTCCTTGGAGGTGCTGGTGTGGTAAGATTTCGGTCTTCTCCCCGCGTTGGCGGCATAACAGATTCCCGCTCCATCTCCGGGTCCTGAGCTCCCGGGGTCGATTGTTGGGGAGCCCGGTCGTCGTGGTCGGCCTCATCCAGGTGTGTGACGTCATTTATGGACGGCCCCTTCGTGACTGCAGGAATTCATATTTTTGTCAGCAGCTGCTGACATTTGGGCTACGCCCATTTTAAACCTTTATGAACAGTTTACCTTTAGAAGCTAACCCCCTCTTCCTGATGACGAATGCTTGTGTTGCGATCGTAGTTTTTTGTTATTTTCTTTGAACCTATCTACGTTAGTTTACCGAAAGACCCAAAGAATATTAAAATGTACTTCTATCCCTCTTGTTGTGCATCTTGGCGGTTTTTTCTCCTCTGGTTTCCTCTTGTAGCTAAAACACGCCTGACACTGCAACTCGTTCCTATATTGGCCAAGCATCCCCAAAGTGCTGGGGAGAATGAATCAATCACCTACACATTTCACTCCAGCATTGGGATTCAACACACGGGGCAATGTCAAGCCGTACGGTTGACCCGTATTCTTGTCCATACGGCGTGCAGCCGTTTCAATGCGGGCAAAAACAAATGTCTTGTCTGTGTTTCTCCCTTGTGATGTGACGTTGTAGGATGAACGTTGATATGTTTAAGGGCACGGGGTGACCCAATGAAGTAGGCACTGATAAGGGGTTGACAGGAAGGCACCACCCGCTATCCGCCACTCCGTGACGGTGACGCCTGTGCCAGGCCAGGTGCGCTTTGAGGCCACGTGAAGTGTCAAAAGGCTCGCTTGATGGGCAAGGAGGTGACTGGACAGACCCAGCATGGGGCTGGCTCTGCCTCTAACGCCGCCACGTGGCAACATCGCCCCCTACTGGCGACGGCCCGCCCGGGGCTTTCGACTCGCGGGGAGCCGCCGCCGCCTCCACTCGCAAGCCGAAGTCGTCGCCGCCGCCGTCATGTCGGCGATGAATTTTGGCACCAAAAGCTTTAAGCCGCGACCTCCAGACAGAGGATCCTTTCCACTCGACCATCTCGGTGAGAGGGCTCGGCGCCGCTTGGGCGGCGTTTGGTTGCGTGGAGTTTGAAGTCTCCCCGGCGGGCGGGTGGCGGGGAGCTCTCGGGGGCCCTGGCCGGGGCGCAGGCCTGGACGCATCGCCTGGCACTCGTGTGGCTGTGTGTGTGTGACTGTAGCTAACTCTTGTGGCTGTGTGTGACTGTAGTTAACTCGTGTGGCTGTGTGTGTGAGACTGTAGATAACTCTTGTGGCTGTGTGTGTGACTGTAGATAACTCTTGTGGCTGTGTGTGAGACTGTAGATAACTCTTGTTGCTGTGTGTGTGAGACTGTAGTTAACTCTTGTGGCTGTGTGTGTGACTGTAGATAACTCTTGTTGTGTGTGTGTCTGTAGTTAACTCTTGTGGCTGTGTGTGTGTGACTGTAGCTAACTCTTGTGGCTGTGTGTGACTGTAGATAACTCGTGTTGCTGTGTGTGTGAGACTGTAGTTAACTCTTGTTGTGTGTGAGACTGTAGCTAACTCTTGTGTGTGTGACTGTAGTTAACTCTTCTGGCTGTGTGTGTGAGACTGTAGATAACTCTTGTTGTGTGTGTGTGACTGTAGATAACTCTTGTTGTGTGTATGTGAGACTGTAGTTAACTCTTGTTGATGTGTGTGTGAGACTGTAGCTAACTCTTGTTGTGTGTGTGACTGTAGCTAACTCTTGTTGCTGTGTGTGTGTGACTGTAGTTAACTCTTGTGGCTGTGTGTGTGTGACTGTAGATAACTCTTGTGGCTGTGTGTGTGAGACTGTAGCTAACTCTTGTTGCTGTGTGTGTGAAAGGCGGGCTCACAGTATATCACTTTAACTGTTGTATTTTATTTACGCGCTAAACTTATAAATCACAACTTCTACGTCGTCCGTTTCAGACGTTTATTAATTTCAGTGAGCATGTGGGGGCCATGGCACAGTGAAATTAAAATCAACGTCGTGTTCACAGTGCACAGAAACATGATTAAACAAACAGTGTAATGTTGTATCATAGCGATGGGGTGTAACGCGTTATATTGGAGCTAAGCGGTGATGTACAATGTACACATTGTGATAACTGCTGGCGTTATTGTCCATCACAGTGACATAACTACATCGACACAGGTAACTTCATACATAACTAGCAACGAGCTACATCTCCAACGACATCACTTTTATCACCTAAATGTATAAACTAAATAACATAACCAGAAGCTGTAATTGATGGCACTAATATAAACTACTTAACTAATAACAAAAACACAAAGAGTAATTCCTGCAGTCACGAAAGCACATGATCAAGTTCGAACCACCTTTACGGGAAGGTATAAAGTCTGTGTCTTTGTGTTGTCTCTGTGTCTGTGTGTGTGTCTTGTGTCTTGACTTGGTGTTTGTATCGCTGTGTTGTCTCTGCCTGTGTGTGTGTCTTGGTGTTTGTATCACTGTGTTGTCTCTGTGTGTGTGTGTTTGTGTCTTGACTTGGTGTTTGTATCGCTGTGTTGTCTCTGTGTGTGTGTGTTTGTGCCTTGGTGTTTGTATCGCTGTGTTGTCTGTGTGTCTGTGTGTGTCCTGTGTCTTGACTTGGTGTTGTATCGCTGTGTTGTCTCTGTGTGTGTGTGTGTTTGTGTCTTGACTTGGTGTTTGTATCGCTGTGTTGTCTCTGTGTGTGTGTGTTTGTGTCTTGGTGTTTGTATCGCTGTGTTGTCTCTGTGTGTGTGTGTTTGTGTCTTGGTGTTTGTATCGCTGTGTTGTCTCTGTGTGTGTGTGTCTTGTGTCTTGACTTGGTGTTGTATCGCTGTGTTGTCTGTGTGTGTGTGTCTTGTGTCTTGGTGTTTGTATCGCTGTGTTGTCTCTGTGTGTGTGTCTTGGTGTTTGTATCGCTGTGTTGTCTCTGTGTGTGTGTCTTGTGTCTTGACTTGGTGTTTGTATCACTGTGTTGTCTCTGCCTGTGTGTGTGTCTTGGTGTTTGTATCGCTGTGTTGTCTCTGTGTGTGTTTGTGTCTTGTGTCTTGACTTGGTGTTTGTATCGCTGTGTTGTCTCTGTGTGTGTGTCTTGGTGTTTGTATCGCTGTGTTGTCTCTGTGTGTGTGTCTTGGTGTTGTCTCTGTTTGTCTGTGTGTGTGTCTTGTGTCTTGACTTGGTGTTGTATCGCTGTGTTGTCTCTGTGTGTGTGTCTTGGTGTTTGTATCGCTGTGTTGTCTCTGCCTGTGTGTGTCTTGTGTCTTGGTGTTTGTATCACTGTGTTGTCTCTGTGTCTGTGTGTGTGTCTTGACTTGGTGTTGTATCGCTGTGTTGTCTGTGTGTGTGTGTCTTGTGTCTTGACTTGGTGTTTGTATCGCTGTGTTGTCTCTGCCTGTGTGTCTTGTGTGTGTGTGCCTTGTGTCTTGGTGTTTGTATCGCTGTGTTGTCTCTGTGTGTGTCTTGTGTCTTGGTGTTTGTATCGCTGTGTTGTCTCTGTGTGTGTGTCTTGTGTCTTGACTTGGTGTTGTATCGCTGTGTTGTCTCTGTCTGTGTATGTGCCTTGTGTCTTGACTTGGTGTTTGTATCGCTGTGTTGTCTCTGTGTGTGTGTCTTGTGTCTTGATTTGGTGTTTGTATCGCCGTGTTGTCTCTGCCTGTGTGTGTGTGACAACTCGTGCCCTCTACCCGCACCGTCCTTTGATATGTGCTCTCTTCATGCTAATTTGTGTCCCATTGTCTCTGAGTCCCAGCCCCACCGTCTCTGTCTATTTAAGACGTCGTCACAGAGATGCGGCTTTACTTCTTCACTGTGTGCGTGTCTCTCCCCATATGTCTCTTTGTGGTCTGTGTTCCATCACTCTCTTAAATTTCACACTTAACTTACAATTTAGCAATCTTTGAAATGGCGTAATCTACCAGACCATGCGTTAATTGTGTTTTAACCGACCGTCTGTGTTGCTTTATATAGTTTCCAAATTTTGCTAAACCCTGTTTGATTTAGTGTGCTCCGTCTCTCTGTGTGTCCCCTGGTGTGTCTGTGTTAATTCCCTCTACTTAAGGTCTGTATATATACATCTGCGGTTATGTGTTTCCTCTCTCTCTCTTAAATTTAGCTCTTCTGTACCTGATGATGATTGCTTGTGTTGCAATCGAAACGTCGTATGCTATTATATAATTTTATTTTTTATTATTTCTACGTGACTTTACCGAAAAAAACAAAGAGTAATTACTACATAACCACAATTACGTATTGTGATTATTAAGAGTGTAACTGATGAGGCACATTCTTAAAGCAGTTGTTTTTCTTTTTGGTTAACGAATGGCTTGAGGCATTATTCCACGAATGATGTTTCTCATGTGGAAATATGATAAACATAAGCAAAACAAAAGTCATTTGCAAAATGCGAAATAATATCTCGAGGGACACCAGTAGAGATCACAGCAGACGATCGGTGAATGTGGGTCAGGATCAAAGTGGTGAGAGGTGCTGGAGAGGCCTGGGTGACTACAATTAGGGATTTACAAACACCATCCATAATAGAGGTTTTTTTTTGGTTAGATCGCGTAAATATATAAATGTGTCGTTAAAACCCGCCACCACCCGACACAGCCAACTAGTAAGGGTTGTCACGTAAACAGAACATGCCAATTGGTCACTAGTACAGCACTAGTGTATATTCTTGGTTCTTTCGGTAAAGTCATGTAGAAAGGAAATAATATAAATGAAACAATTATTTTATTATTTCCCTTCTACGTGACTTTACCGAAAGAACCAGGAATAGGAATCCCTGCAGTCACGAAAGCTTTAAAACAATAGTGTATAGTGTAGTGTATAGTGTAGTATATTAATACAGCACACCGGTGTGTTGGAGAGCCAAGCCACAACATTTACAATCCGAATACGACGTTTCGCCAGATTACTAAACTAATGAACGTCGTGAGAATTTTATTGTGTTATTGTATTATTTTATTCTCATTCTACGTGACTTTACCGAAAGAACCAAAGAAGATGAATCCTTGCAGTCACGAAAGCTTTAAATCGAAAAATTACAACTAGATTCATCGGGCGACAGCCAGACTTGTGAAGAAGTCCACTTGTTTAGTTCCTTATATAGTGGCGTAGATGTTGTGACCAAGCTTCTGCGCTCTTGCCACGTGGGGGGGGGGGGGATGGTAATTAATGAGTCAACTTACATTATCCTTAACAATCCGTGCATCGTACCTTATGCGACATTGATTGGAAACAGTGACTATACAAACGTAATTGCACGCTGGGATTGCACTGCGAGATTACTAAACTAATTAACAATTTTTTATTTTACCAGGTAAGGTCCACTGAGCTCTGTAGCTCTTTTTCAGAAGCGATCTGGCCACCAATGATAGCTCAATGAAGTGGCTTATCACGTGGAAATGTATAGCAGCCCAATGACTCCAAACGCGTGTTAATTCAGGATGTGGAGGGAAAAGATGGAGAGGAAGACTTTTATCATAGGAAACAAATTAAAAAAAGACACATCGACTTGAGAAAAAGTTAAGTGGCCTTGGGCAGGACTCATCGCGAGAAGGGGGGGATGATGGCCAGTGGATGAGACTGGTGAGGAAATAGCAGCCAGGAGGGACTTCTGCCCGAGAGTGTAACCACTATGGAGATGGATCGCTGAGATTCTCCCATTGTGTAGGAGCTAGCTGGATTCTGGCATTGCAAGACTTCAAGAGATGGTGGTGATGTGGAGAGAGCCCTTCATATCGGTCTGAACGATTAATCCATTTCAAATCTAAATCGCAATTTGGAACAATGCGATTAGCAAATCGCAAAGGCTGCGATTTTTTGCGATTTTTTTTTTATTGGATTTGTATTATTACTTTATTTATTTAACTTAACAATTGTTTTATGTTTGATTGTTCTATTTCAATTAAAACATTTTAATAAATACATGTTGGAAGCAATTTATATATTTTAAGAACTCTCATATTTTTATGGTATCATGTGGTAATGCTCTATCACAGCGGTTCTTAAGCTGGGTTCGGTCGAACCCCAGGGGTTCGTTGAGTCACTCTCCGGGGTTCGGCAGGGGTCAAGATACACACAGTATAGCAGCCCGGTTCGCACTTGCAATGTCAGGCCGTTTTTGTCGGCCGTCAAAAAAATTGGCAACACAAAATTTTTCTTCGCCGTGTTAGATTACAAATATTTTGTTGCTTAGTAAAAATGTGTTACACAATAAATTCAGCCCACTTGTATTATTTGTGACGTCACGCTCCGCTTGGCCATCATTGGCTGCAGCTAATCACACCACATTGCGTGATCAGGAACTTGGTGCGCTCAGTAGTCGACTTGTGGCTGTTGTGATTGTACATCATTTGTGATTTTCTTTTAATCTTCTAATCCCTTCATACTAACTATGTCGAGCAAAAAAAGAAAGTGGTTGGACGAATACGTACAATATGGATTCACGTGTATAAAGGAACGTGATAGGAGTCAGCGTCCTCAATGCATGATTTTCAATGCCAAGTTGAGCAATTCTAGTCTAGCACCGGCAAAACTAAAGGAACACTTCCTAAAGCTGCATGGAGATGGTAAATACAAGAACACAACGCTTGCTGAATTCAAGGTGAAGAGAGCCAGATTCGATGAAAAGGCTACTCTGCCTGTTCTCAGCTTTGTACCCATCGACAAACCGATCCTCACAGCATCGTACGAAGTTGCGTACTTGATCGCAAAGCAGGGCAAACCACAGACCATTGGTGAAACACTAGTAAAACCAGCTGCGTCGAAGATGGCGAATATCATGCTGGGAAAATCAACTGAAGATAAGTTATCCCAAATTCCTCTTTCAAATGACACTATCAGCAGCAGAATAGACGACATGAGCAGATCTGATTTCAAGCCCAGCAAAATTCAGCCTCCAACTCGACGAGACCACCGACGTTTCCAATCTAAGCCAGCTTGTTGTATTCGTGCGCTATATGAAAGACGACGTGATAAAGGAAGATTGTTTTTATTTTGTAAGCCTCTTACAACAACAACCAAGGCAGTCGATGTGAAGAAACTCGTGGATGACTTCTTCAGAGACAACGATCTTTCGTGGAATATGGTTTCTGCAATTTGTTCGGACGGAGCTCCAGCCATGCTGGGACGACACTCTGGTTTTGGAGTGCTGGTGAAATCCGATGCACCACACATCATTGTTACGCACTGTGTTCTGCACAGGCATGCGTTGGCAACAAAAACCTTGCCTCCTAAACTGGCAGAAGTATTAAAAATTGTAGTTGAATGTGTGAACTACGTTCGAAATAGTGCTATGAAGCACCGCATCTTCAAAGAGCTGTGTAAGGAAATGGGCTCTGAATTCGAGGTACTTCTGTACCAACATTGTCACGCAGATTGCTTCAAAAATTCTGAGTTCATTCTCATTTTGATGTACATGGCCGATATTTTGGATGCTCTCAATCATCTCAATCGACAGATGCAGGGCGGTGGAGTCAACATCATCGAAGCGGAAGAAAACCTGAAGGCGCTTAAAAAAAAGCTACCTTTATGGAAACGACGAACAGAGAATGATATTCTTGGTTCTTTCGGTAAAGTCATGTAGAAGGGAAACAATAAAATAATAAAAATATAAAACAATAAAATTATCACGACGTTTCGACTGCAACACAAGCAATCATCATCAGGTGTGAAAACCACAGCAAGAAAATTTGATAAAAGTGGCGTTTTTTTTCACGTTAGCACCACGGAGAGCGATTTGTCAGTTATTCAGGTGGACGAGTCCATCTATGCTCGGAAAAGAGGAGGGGGGAGACGAAAATAATGGATGCGGTCTGAAAGCCACTGTAAGCGTGAACAATCAATTAAGACCCGAAATGGTTTATCAAATCCTTCCAATGATTGCTAAGCCAGAATCCATCTTCTCGGTTGAAATTGTCTCTGTGTTTGTATATGTGGATAGCCTCATGAACGAACCTCTCATGGTAGCCAGATTTAAATCAAAAAGAGAATGATAACTTCGCAAACTTTCCCCTGCTGGACGACTGTGTAAGTAAGATCGAAGACGTGTTTGGAATTGGAGACATTTCTGTACCTGGGGAGCTGAAGCAAGCAATTGCTATGCACTTAGATGAGCTCGCAAAGTCTCTCGACGGATACTTCCCCACCAGAGAGTCATATCCAGCATGGGTGAGACAGCCGTTCACGTTTTGTGTTGCGACAGCAGATGTCAACGATAAATACCTCAAGGAAATCATTGAACTTCAGCAGAGCCAGCTTCAACAGGAACTCTTCAGAACAACAACGCTCTCAACGTTTAGGTGTCACCAAATCGTACCATACCCTCTTATTGCTAAGAAAGCCCTTGAGATACTCACACCGTTTTTTGCAACGTATCTTTGCGAGCAATCTTTTTCGAAGGATGGTAGCCATTAAAACTAAGAAAAGGAACAGACTTTGTTGCGAAAATGATATGAGAGTGGCACTTGCCAAGATGAAGCCACGCATTTCTGAACTTGTATCTGAAAGGCAACAGCAAAAGTCACATTGATTTGCAGTAAATATTCATTGAGTTATGTTTTTGCGTGAAATTGATGTTTTGTTGGTTTTGTTCTTTGAACACAGTGATTTTATGTGCAACTGATGCATGGTTCATTTTGTGCACTAATAACATATATACCTATGTTTTGAAGAAATATTTTATTTTTCCAATTACGAAGGTTTCGGTGAATGCACTGATGAAGCTTGCAGGGTTCAGTACCTCCAATAAGGTTAAGAACCACTGCTCTATCACATGTTTTAAATATATTACACTGAATATTGAACTGAAGCTTGACTTTAAAAATTTTTATCGCAATGTCAGAAAAATCGCAATTAGATATTTTCCCCAAATCGTTCAGCCCTACCTTCATACAGCAGTCAATTGTTTATGATAATGAAACCCATTGTCACCTCTCTCTTTGTCATAGTCCTTGGAATGCAGATGTTATGCAAATAGGCAACAATTCAACGTGCGTGCCAAAATTGGCCATGCTGAAATGTTCGTAAATGTTTTCCTTTGCCGAGAAAGGTATCACTTGAAAGCTCTGGAAAGGAACTTTTCAAACCTATTGTTATTTTTGTACAAAACAAATAATGACGCACTCCATGAACGCCTTCTGTCTTTTGCCGGTGCTTCATTAAGGGGAGTGCAAGGAGTTCAAGGAGGCCTTCATGAAGTGCCTCAGTGAATGTAACTATGAAAATGTGCAGTGCCGGTTGCAAGCCAAAGAATACTTGGAGTGCAGAATGGAGAGGTGAGGGGGGGGGGGGGGGAGTCTCGTACTTATTCCTAGAGTGGTAAATCACCACTTTGAAAAATGACAAGCATTTTGAGAAAATAAAAATAAAGACATGCTGGTCTCAAATATAGATTAAAATTGTGAAATCATATAAAAGCTATCTCACTGTAAAAAAGTTTGTCGAAGTATAACCGTTCTGTGTCAATTAGCTGTTTGCTTGTTTGTAACAAAATAAAAGTGTGCTAAATTGGTTGACCTGAACTAGTCGTGGTATTTCCACATTCCCATGATGAGGGGAAGGGTACCTATTACAACAGGTGCCGTTGACTTGGCTTAAAGTTGTTATTATTTTATCAACATCTGGAGGGATTTCAACTTACAACCTTCCGAGTGCGGGTGTTGCCCTCTTGCTACTTAAAATAAGCCATTGGTAAATGATGTCACCAAACTTTGCAAACCGGTTCTTGAATAGGTGTATGTCGAGCTTAAAAGGCTACTTTGGATATACGAGCAGGAAATGTTCTGCCCATGCCGGGAAAACTGTTTTGTTTAACCCCGAGACAAAACCTGACACTGCCACAGTGCAAAAGGAACCCGTGCTTAGAGGTTACTGGTGGTGGCGTGGTGCATTGTCCCTTGTGTCAGACACCGCTGTGCTGCCAACTGTCAGAAGGGCTCCGAGACCTGGTGTTTGAAGGCTTAACGGTGTCGCGTGACGTGTGTGTGAATGGGCAGGCAGCTGATGTCCCAGGAGCCACTAGAGAAGTTGGGATTTAAGGATCTCATGGGCGAGGATGGAAAGAAACCTGAAGAGACATCCTCCTGTCATCCCCGATAACAAAACAAGCGTAATGGCAAGGTGTAAATAACTTTCTGCTCAAACGAGAGATGCTGGGGTGATATTGGATCGTGTGAGATAGTTTTGTTTTTAAAGAGAAAATGTAAAAAAAAAACATACATAAGGTCTATTCTTGGGAGTTCTTGCATTTCGACCTTCAATCACCAATGGAAGAAAATCTACAGGAAAATTAGCATTTTGTCAAAAGTTCCTTGAAGGGTATTGGCATTTACATTGTAATCTGCTTAAATATATGTGCAGCTTGATGAACTTAATTTTCCTAATTTAACTACAAGCAATAGTATGATGCTTTTTGTGAATGTATTTTGACAAGGTTAAACATATAGTTGTACTTGTATAATTTAACATGTGTATGTTCAATAAAGTGTTGGGGTTTTTGTTTTCACCGCCATTAAAGAGAGTGCCCTTGTTTCTCACAGTAGGCTGCAGATGGCAGGGATAATGCGGTAATGACCCCTCATGTGAAGATGCTGGCAGACGTTGGCTCGTAGACGTGGGCGCGCGATTGCTTTTATCAAGGGATTACCGCCGCAGGGTGCGAGGGTCCCACCCTGATGGGGAGGATCGGCAACAGACGGTGGCTGGGTGAGGTCACACGCCGAGCTCTGTAGGTGTCCAGGAGCGAGTCTCACGGCATGATAAACCACGACGAGGAGACGCCACGCAGCCCTCAATTACACTTAGTGACTGCGTTGGGAATGGTCGATTCATGACCACAGACCAAAACCACCACGTGGGACGGAGACCATCCCAAGCTCACCGTATGCTTTAAATACGAATTAAAACAAATCAAATCCTTTATCGACCATGCCTACATCATTCAAAATACGGCCATAAAATGCATTAAAATGCTTATTCAAAAAGGATACAGATAATATTTTAAGTAGGATTCTACATGCCTACAGGGCTCAAATTTACATTGGTGAATGTGCCTGTCATGTTCTTGGGGGTAACGTACCAACGGTTCATAAACATCTGCCTCGGGTGTTCATGCCATTATTACTATTTCGATTTGTTCAAAATTTCTGTTTTGAGACCTTGGATGCTGCAAGACCAATGGGAAGTGCTTGGCCATTCCAGCTCCATTTAAGTTTGATCCCACACTGCTTCGCGAGTTGCGTGGCTCCGTGGACTAGCCCCCTCCTACTTCACCCCTCTCCCCCTCCCTATCCTCCACAGCCAGAGAGTATTACCAGTAGCATTAAGCACAGCCCTAGGTCAGGTGAGGTCAACCTGAAGTTATAATCTATTACTGTGTATAATTTCTGCACTTTATAAAACAAACTTGGCACCGAAGTTACTGGCTGCGTCTCTCGCGTGCTAAGTCCCCCGTGACTTCACAGAGGGCTCCTCTGGCGCTTGGCCGACTCGCACGTGTCGCGTCACATGAGGAAAGGTGGGTCAGGACAGTGAGGATGCTGCGGGAATCCGGGCCGAATTTGGTTTTCCCGATTCACTAACCGAGTTGTTTCCCGGATGTTGGTGATGCAAACCTCAGGATCACGAACGTTGAGTTTTGGTCAGGAAAATTAACAGTACATCCTATTAGATGGGATGTACCTGAGATGAGAATGGTAAAGCATCAGTACATCACCTTGAGATTTCATCTTACGCTCAGTCCTACCAAGTGGTACTATGGGAGAGTGCTGGGCTCCCAATAAGGTGAGTTTACATACTGCCTGGAAGCCTACACCGCCCATCAATCAGTGTAAGCCGAGTAGTTGCTGTCATGGACAGACTTGCCCCGACCATCAGAATGTGGAATTTCCACCACCGGCTCAGGGTCACCATTGGAGAAGAGCACCACCCATTGCTTGAGCAGGGGGAGACACTTTGTTCACAGCCATGTGCGGTCAGCAGTCAATGAACCGTAGGCATCACATTGTCTATACACTGTGCACTACCTAAGAAGGCTGAGGAGTAACAAAGAGCTGGGAATATAACTTGTGTTAGGTCTCTTCACTTCCTGGCTAGGTGTGCATTCTCTGCGCCCGCTCAGTTACGTGGGTGCTCGCATCCAGTCCAAAGCAATGGTTCAAACCTTTCTGGATTCGAGAACTACTTTTGGTCATGCGCAGCACGCCTCGGGAACCTCTACTGTCGAGGGGGGGACTGGGAAGCGGTCTTAGGGTGTGAAAAGCAAGGTGCTCCGAGGCAGCTTGAAAAGTGAGATGGACTCGGAAGTGAAAATTTTGATTTGGTTGTTGGAAAAATAAGTTAAAACGTTCACTTGGACAGACAATTCCATACGAAGAGTATAGGACGTCGCGGTGGTGAGAAGTTTGATCCCGACGCCTGTATATTTGGAGATTGCATGTTCTCCCTATGGTCGCGTGGATTTTTCACCGAGTCCTCCGGTTTTTTCCTCCACATTTAGAATCGACATGCGTTGGAGTATTTGGCTGCAATACATTTTCACGTGACAAGCCACTTTGTTGCGCTATCATTTGCGGCCAGGTGGTTTCTACAAAAGAGCTACATATTTCAGTTGGCCTTACCTGGTAAAATAAAACAGTTTAGTTTACTTGATACATCACGTAGCTTTTGCTTGTTGACCTGGTGATTGTTATGTAATCATATTGGGTGTTTGCGCAATACACGTGCGTCTACCTGAGCAGCAGTCGAGCAAGAAGCCCGAAGATGAGACCTGGCTTCGATGTTTTGATGGACAGCTCTTTTCAGGCCTTCAATGCAATGCATTTGAATGGACAATTCGGCTTTGGAATGGGATGGCTCGAGGAGAAATAAACAAAACCATAAGCAACTTTACTCGACGTAAATGTGAGTGGCGTTTGAGTTTGGCAGGTCAATTGATTTCAGTCAAAGTGCGGTCAAGTGTACATTTCGTCACTATTCAACCGCATTCTATTTTTGCTGTGGGTTTTTTTCATTCGAGTGCCATGTTATTTAAATTTAGTTAATTCCACTCATGCAGTGAAGAGATGTGCAGTGGGATGATCTGCATTCCTCCAATATTCCAAATGCACTTTGAAACGCAGCTTCTAATCCAGATACCGTTTAATACTGGTAGGAACGAAGTTGTAAACTGAGTGTACCAGCCTGCAATAGATTAATGTGTCCGTCCGTCCCCTTTCAATACTTTAACGAAGTGAAATCTCGTGCTGTTGGGTGTAAAATCAGCAATAGACAGCGCAGAGACTTGTCCTACCAGCCCACCATGCAGGGACCTGTTTTCCATAGTATCCAGCACGTACTTGAAGAGCTTTATTGGTGTGGAAACACTTCACATCACACTCTGCCCGCCGTCGTCTTTTGAATAATCGCTCGTGACCTCGGTAGTATGTTTATAGGTGAAATGTGCAGTGCACGTTTGTTAAAACAGCAGTGCAGCCATTAAAGGCAGACTTAACGTGCAAGTTTTCAGAGCCATCATTACGATTTACAGTTGATTTGCGATTATGCTCAAGTATGATCCAACCAAATCTGTCATTAAGAACCCTCCACCACCAAACACCTAAGCAAATTAATAGTCACTCTGTACAAGTGTTTAACGTGCCCATTATTATTGTGCCAGCTTACCGGTGACATGAGCAATCATGTATCGGATGGCTAAATCTTGGTTTCAGGGGTTATTTTTAATTCACCGGCGAGTGAACTGAAACAGGTGGTGCGTTGTTTCGCTGGGCCAGGTAGTGGAGGGTTTTTAATGGCACTAATTTGGACAGATAACAACGAGGCCAACAAAAATGTTTGTTCATCATTAAAGGGAAAGTGCGTTTGGTGTTTCACGGATAAAACGTGGGCACACAGTGGTTGTATTCCTGTGTACGGTGTCACTGGGTGCCTTGTCAATCACCGGCTTTCCAATTCACTTTCATTCAATAACGCTTCACGTTTTTCTACAAGTTATTTGGAAAATCGACAGGACTGCTAAAAAGAGACCTAGCCTACTCACCACCAGGATGAAATGTACACATCCTTTATTTACGATGTCGTGAATGAGTTTTGAGTCGAGACGCTACTGTGTCTGTGCAATCCATATAAAATTAGAGGTTTCCCCTCTATCACATGCACACGGTCTTGTATGGGGAAATATGAAAGCTGAAATTTAGATGTGGTCAGGATGGTGGAATACCGACATTTATACAGCATCATTACAAGTGCTTGGTATTAACTATACTGGCATCCCCAGACACTTTCTAGCCATGACAAGGGAGAATGTAAATAACCGAGATGTGAGTGATGCAGACACGATTCACAAATATAAATAAAAGCACAATGGCCCATATGGCTAGAGGTCTAAATACTGTAAAGAAAATACTCTCAGCCTCTTACTTAAACAGATGGTGTCAGCCCATGGACAGCTGAGGAACGGCAATTCCAGACTCCATTTTCCTGATGAAGGCTGCACTGCTGAGAGGCGCAGCCTCGGCGACATTGCCAACTGATGCCTTTCCAGGCAGTCTCTGTGTATGCAGCGAGGAACCCAAACATCGTGCCCTGATGAAGGCTGCAGCATACTGCTGCTGCTGTGTGGAGCATCTGCAGCTGAGATGACTCGAGTTTGGGGCTGCCAACATCTGCTTCTATTGTATCTGGAACGGTGACGTAGCGTGGCTGGCAGGGGCCCTAGTGCAAGGAATTAAGTGGGGTCCCCTGTCCAATTCTCCCGGCCCCTGGGTCTCTCTGGCCGGTCCGTGGATGCACCGCCTGCACACTCAATAGTTATGACCCTGGCCAAGAATCCCATTTAAGATTCGGCTTTGCAACCACACCGAACGCATCTCTCTAGCCCAGAGAGAGAGGAATTTATGTTATGAGCCACAGCTCAGTTCGCAGGGCCAAGCACCAGCTCGAGGAAGGCGAGCGCCTGCAGCAACGCATCGCACATCTCTTCACATTCGCGGCTGTCACGCGCCGACGCGAGGGAGCGCGGCACTCGCACGCGCGGCCGCTCCAGCAGCAGCACCTCGTCCAACAGGAGGCGTACAACCTCGCGCCCGCTCGTCTTGGTGCTCCCCAGCATGAGCTGGAAATGCTGGCCCACGGCGGAGCGCGACATGCCGAGCACGCGGGGGTGTGGGGGTGGCACGGTGGTGGGGGGCTCCATCCATGGATTGTCCTGGGCACACGGAGGTCAGGGGTCGGCAGTTGTGGTTTTCGCTCTCGACAAAGATTGAACTCGGGGAGTTACAGTGCGGTGTGGGAAGTCTCCATCGCTAAGCGCAACTCAAATAACGTGCAGTGGTAAAAATGTAAAATAAAACGTAAAAATTATAACTCAACAAATTACTTTAATACAATGTAACAAAGTTTAAAAGTTAAACGTAAAATTAATACTAGGTCATTCAGATCCACAATCATACACAGTACGGGTCCTGTCCACGTGCAGAGTTCCCTACGATCGGGGCTTGGTTTCAGCCCGGCCTATCCAGGTCAGCGACCTGGAAAATATTTCCAGTATACCTCTCACTACGAGTAGCTACTAGGAGTCACGTGCCAACTACTCCAATCTAGCCGCAGCAACGTGGGAAAAAAAGCGAGCAACGAAGCCTGTGCGTACGTGTCGAAACGAACGCACGCTCGGCGCGCCACCACGCACCGCGACTTCCGTCCCGGCGGCAGCAGCGTCCCTGAGCGAGAGCAGGCTGAAGAGCGTTGTCTCCATGCTACGTAGGTGCAGCACGACCGGGAAGAGGCTTGTGTTCCCGGGCGGCAGGCTCGGCCGCTCCAGCACGTACAGGTCCGCCTTGGGAATGAGCGCCACCGTCGCACGCAGCTACGCCCGCGTCGTGTCCACAGGGAAACACAATCCACGGGCCATACCGGTCACTTCTGTTCATAAGCGATCACAGGGTATGACAGGTGGAAGTGAAAGCAACAGTGGGGTGACGGTCACGATTATTATGATTATTACCCTTTCAGTGTACAGGAAGGCCGCAATGAGCCCCAAGACTCTTTTTCAAGAGGATCCTGCCAGGTTTTCTCAGGGCAGATGTTGCTGCTGTGTGTAATTGGAACTGAGTCATTTTCAGGTAGGTTTTCAGAATTAGGATGTTTTGGCCAATACCAGTTATAATGTTTGGTTTTTCAGCTATGAGAGGACACCCATGCAGAAAGAGAGCATACCAACTCCATGCAGAAAGGTGCCGAGTTGGGAATTGAACACAGGATCTTTTTCCTGCGAGTCGCAAGTGCAACCACCGCGCCACTCAAAGATTACCTCTTGGCAGTGGGAGGTGTGTACAGGTGTGTACAGGTGTGTGTGTGTAGAGTGGCAACATGTCTGTGACAGTGGGAGCGGTAGTGTAGTGGTTAGTGCACTGCACTAAGAACCTGGTGACCAACAAAAGGGACGATTATTTGAACCGGTCCTGGGCCTCCCCTAGGTCGACTCGGCCTCAAATGAGTACCTGATGTGGTGTGTAAATATCGCCACTGGGGAAAGAATGGTTGCCGGGCATGGTGCTGGCCACTCCACCCCCTCCTATGCCGTGTTGGCCTTCATAGGTGCTCGCTAACAGCACTTCCCCCAGCAGTCTGTTAAAGCTATACGGCGGATCTTTGTCTTTTGTGTGTGACAGTGGCGGTGTGTGTATAAACAGGAGGGCGGGATAGCATGACAGAGGAGCAAGAGTCGCTGCGTACTTCCTCGTAGTAGACGTTGGGAGCGTAGCTGCCCGTCCTGATGGTGTCGCAGCGGCGCTGCTGCCAGGCCAGGACGTCAAGCGAGCGTGTGACGTGCGCCCACGCCACGCGGTGCATCCCAAACACCAGCGACACCACGCTCCGCACGGTCTGCGACGACAGTGCCCAGAGAACTCGATCAGTGCCAACAAACGACCACAGGCTCAACTGGCATTCGTTACACTCGGTTTGTTTGTTTCGGGGAAGGCCCATAGAGCTCAGAAGCCAATGTGAGGTCACCACCACCAGGCAATCGCAGTGGCTCAATAGTAACTTGGGTCCAGTCCACCTGCCAAGTCTCAAAACGACGAGCACTGGGGTGGCACTCATCCTCATCGGCAGGCCTGAGCCAGAAGTGTAAATCCACATGCACAAGATGGGCAGTCTCTCCACAATGTGACTGCTCGTTTTGGTCAAATGTTATTTTGTGCAGAGTGCAGAGGCATATGCTACAAAATCACATACAGCAGGAAGAGCTGTCCACCGTGATTTCCTGCAGTGGTACTTAAATTGTTTTCGAGAAATGATGGGATGAGTGGACACCTGACCGAGACATTAACTGGCAACCTTCTGACTGGGTCATATTTGCCCTTGTCATTGGAATGTAGAATTTCAACCAAAGAATCAAGGCTGCCAACAAAGATGCATCAAGATATGTTTACTTTGAAGTAGAGAGGAGCATTGTATCCCAAGCTTTAGGTCTCCAGTGCCAATGGCCTTACCCCAACGTAAATAGCTCTTACACTAAACAACAGGCAGGGTGGCTCAGTGGTTATAGCACTGGACAACAATAAAGTCAAATATGGATCTGGGGTTCACTCAGTCACTCATCAATCCCCAGTCCACAACATATCACCGCAGTGTGGGAAAGCAGCATTGGTCATCCTATGGAGAGACTGGCCCACCTTGGGATTGTGTAAATCCACCACTTGGGTACGATGGTGTCTGTGTTAGCTGTGCTTCGTCTGCCTTCACTACCTCGAGGCTTTCGCGGCTCACATCCGGCTTGAGGAAGGTCAGCCGTTTGCTCTGCCGTGCCGCCGCCTCCCTGCTAAGCTTGGGCTGCAGGAGGACGGTGCATGCCTTGAACAGCGACTTGTACTTCAGGTAGGGGACTCTGGAGGGCGGAAAAAAACCATCAGCAACCTCCCTTTATTAATATCGCTCGTAACATATAATCAGCAATTTCCTTTACTACTCCACAATCAGTACAGCCAAGTACCGCCAAAAGAGGGCTTCCCTCAAACACACGGACGCCACAGTGATTATAGATTCAGCCCATCATGCCTCTGCGGTTGGAAAAATGAGTACCATTCTTGCAGCTGTTTAGTAAGAATGTTCAATGTGAACCTTTACTGAATCTCAACTCACTTTCAAACAGGCTTTCTTGGCATGTTTGGGTGTGTTTCCGCAGTGTGCATGTATCGTGTACATGTACACAGGGTGCGGCGTGCATAGTGTATACGTCTAACGTGTGCAGTGTGCATTGCGCACAAGCTGGGTCGCGCGCGAGCGGCGCTTTTCCGTGCCTGGTGAGCGAGTCCAGGTCGCCGAAGGGGCCGTGCTCATCGCGGAACGCTGCCACGTTGGCGCCTTTGCGGCCCCGCAGCGCGCGCATGGCCCCCAGCTCCGCGCCCGACGCCTCATTAAAAGTCCGCAGCAACGTTGCCCGCTGCTCCGCCGTGAAGAGCTCGTCCAGGGGGACCTCCACCGTGTGGCGCTCCTCTGAAGATAGCGGCTCCCTGTCTAGCTCCGCCGTGGAGACCTCCGACTGGGAGAACTCCCCTCTGGGTCGCTCCGCCGTAGAGACCTCCTCGCCCTGCCTGTCGGACTGCTGGGTGCTCGCGTTCATCGGTTGTTCCGGGGCATCGGGGAACGCACATCGCGACCTTGCACTCACTACTCCCCGCAACCTGGCTCCCAGCCACAGCGCTCCTGGTAAACATGCGCACAGAGGCACTTTGGTGGAATACAGCGCTCCAACTCCACTTTAAACATTACCACATCAAACGGTCAGCGTTACACCAACACCACAGCGATGTATCATTTCACCAGGATCTGTAAAGTTGTCGCTGAGAATAATTGACTGTGTAGTGACGCGCGTCTGTATTTCAGTGAATAATTGCGAAATGGGCTTGGGCAAGACACATCGCTCAAAGGGATCATCGCGGACACAGAGCGATGAAAGCAGCTCATCCTGAGTGTGCAACTTGTGGCATCGCTGGACCGTGAATGGCGGCGGTGTGGGGCAGGCCGTCGCCCAGCAGGAGGTAGAAAATAGCGGATGATGGGCGGCAGCAGGAGGCATAGGGCAGGTCGGTCATTGCTCGACTCGGCGCCTTCACGGTGTTAACCCACGAATGTAACCGTCCGTGATCATTGTACAAAGACCCCCCCCCCCCCCCCGATAGCCTTAACAGACTGTTGGGGCAAGTGCTGTTAGCCAGCACCTTTGAAAGCCGGTACGGCACACGAAAGGGTTGGGTGGGTGGCCAGCACCACGCCCGATCGCCTTAGTGGCGATGCTCACACATCGCACCAGGTACTAATTCTAGGTCGAATCGACCTAGGGGAGGCCCTGGACCGGTTCAGATAATCGCCACTGGTGTTGGCCGTGAGCGGGAATCGACCTCGGGTCGCCGGGTTCACAGCGCGCTAGCCGCTACACTACCGCTCCCCACTACCGCTCCCCACTCCCACCACCACGTCCATGCACGCCAAACACATTTCCGGCATGGAGCGCCGGAGAATGTGTACTCGTTTTTTTGCGTGTGAAAGACAGCCCTCCATTTACCTGGTAATCTCTTCGTCGCGAGCATTGTGCGAGTACCGGTGATCGCGGATTAATCGCCAAGCGAGTGGCGGCGTTCAGTTACAGCTGAATGGCCGAGGACACGCATGTCACCATGGGCGCCGCCATGCTGGGGGCACGTGACACCGCACCACGTGGTCCCGAGTATAACAACAACACTTTATTGTTCGCCACAGTTCGCAGGAGACAAACGGCATAGCTGTTAAACCACCACGGTTTATCCCCCCTACCCCCCCGTGTTCTTACACAGGGAAATTGAGTTTTCAGGTCCATACGGCGTACAGCCATTGCAGTACGGGCAGATTTTTTTTAAACTCTGGAGATTAGCGATCCCCGTATGTACATCCACGTATGGGGGGGGGGGCGTCCATAAATGACATCACGCACCTAGGGGGGGTCAGACATTAGTGACGATGTATGACGAAGGGGGTGGAGGGGTTGAGAAATGTGACGTCACATCAAAATGCGCATCTTTAAATATAGACAACACGTTCTACTTAAATTTTGATTTAAACATTTCGTGACTGCAGGGATTCATATTCTTGGTTCTTTCGGTACAGTCACGTAGAAGGGAAACAAAAAATATATAAAACAATAAAATTATCACGACGTTTCGACTGCAACACAAGCAATCATCATCAGGTGTGTAAACCACAGCAAGAAAAATTTTCACACCTGATGATTGCTTGTGTTGCAGTCGAAACGTCGTGAGAATTTAGTTTTATGTATATTTTATTTTATTGTTTCCCTTCTACGTGACTTTACCGAAAGAACCAAGAATACGTTCTACTTAATTAAATAGACTTTTTAATCAATGTTTTCTCCTACAACATCAGAGTGCAGCGCCACATTAAATACGCACTACAATGACAATAGTTTAAAGCGATTTGAAGCATGTTTTATTTTCAAAATGGAAATATGGTTTGGGGGGGGGGCAGAGCTTTGTGACGTCATATTTGAGGGAGGGTCTGACATTTTGTGACGCCGTGTGACGAGGGGGGGTCAAAAGTGCCCAAATTCGCGTGACGTCATTTATGGACGGCCCCTATGAAGCAAGCAGCATCAGCATGCAAGATCACAGACAGCATGCATGATAAGTAGCATCATTGACACCAATCATCAACATGAATACACAAGTTTTTGTTTTATAACATAATTTGTGTCTACGTGTTTCTCCCTTGTGATGGGACTTATTTGGAGGATGAACGTTGATGTTTATAATGGCACAGGGTGACATAGAAAGTCTGAATTGGTCTGTAATAAGGTAGGCACTGATAAACAGGTATGGTATAGAGGAGGACGAGGCATTTGATCGGGGCGCTGGCTGTGGCTGAGAACGACAACGGTGAAGAAGTGGGTCTGACTACATCTGGGACGAGTTCGACCTTCAACTAAAATTGACGTTTCCAAGGAGTTTCCTTACACAAGCATGCGTCACCACTGCGCAGTCGACCGAGTGCTCTGCCCAATAACAAATGCCAATTAACACTGCTGTGACCGCTGATGAGACCCTGAGGTTGAAGCCGGCGTATGTTTGAACACATTCTGCTGGATTATCTGTGCCGTTGACTGAACATTCGCGTGCGCAGAAAGAGTGGGCAAGGCGTAGTTATTTATTTGTTTACGAGCACTGCCCGTGCATTTGCCGATTTGCGCGTGAGACATGGAGGAGGGTGGGGGCGTGACGTCAACCACGCACGAGCCCTGCTCAGCGCTATGGGATTGCAGGTGGCAGTGGCTAGGAGATGTTAACTACCTCGCCCGGTATGCAGGAGGACGTGGATTCGATCCCGACCCTGACGCCTGCTGCTGTATATTTGGAGTGTGCGTGTCTCTCTCACCCACCTTGGTCGCGTGAATTTTTTTCCGGGTCCTCCACTTTTTCCCTCCACATTTAGAAACACGCGTTTCGGGCATGTGGCTGCTATACATTTGCACACGAACAGCCACTCCGTTGAGCTGTCATTTGTGGCCAGGTCGTTTCTGAAAAAGAGCTGACAGAGCTCAGTGGGCCTTACCTGGTAAAATAAAAAATAGTTTAGTTTAGACGTCATCACCGGGAACTAGCCCGCCCACGCGCCAGTCAGCCGGGAAATATGCAACAATGCTGCAATTTAGCATTAGATGGACACCTCTACCGACGAGCATTCGACTTATGAACTTTCAGAGATACAAATCTCTCCGTATGTCCAGTTGTCTGTTAGAACCAAGAGTCGTGAGTTCAACCGCCGCGCAATAGATGGCGGTGGTGGCATCTATCGTATTTTCCCGCATGTAGCCCACGTACGCATATAACCCGCAGACGCATATACCCCGCAAAAATAGAGTTTTGTGTAAAACATATTTCAGATAGCCCGCACCTCCATATACCCCGCATGCATTCATATCTTTAACGTCGTTACCGCAGCTTAATTCCATCATATTAATACGAAGTTTACATTTGTAATACATTCCACTTTCAATTGTTAACATTAAAATCATAACGTGCACAAAGAAAACAAACTAACTGGAAACGAGTGAACTTAAAACAGTAAATAAGTTATAAAAGTAAATATCCAATAAATAAGTAACACATAACTGGTAGATAAGTAAGTACAGTTTTAGCACTGGTAGATTGCGCACTGCGCAGACAATAGCGGCACTACGGCAACGCCGTTGCCTCGCCCCCCCCCCCACTTCTCTCTCCCCCACCCAGCTCTCCCGTCGCCGGTAAACAAAGTGCGCCCACTTCAAACATTGTCGTTTCATTGTACAAACAATTCGAATAATTTAAAACGTGATAACATGTGCAATTTTAGTGTGAGTGGTTTATTAAGCAGTGTTTTAGTCAAAGGTGAGTATTGCATAGAGGATAGTCCTACCATGAAAAAATTTAACGAGTTATGACATATCACATGTGTAAAATATTTTTGGGATAGCCCACACCTCCATATACGCCGCAGGGTCTTGTTTTGTTTGTAAAAAGTGGTATACCCCGCGGGTCATATGCGGCAAAATATGGTACATATGCAGAACGTGAAGAACCAGTGGCATCTTCATCTACAGGAGATTATTCAACTTTTAAAGCCACTCCCTGTGTTGAGTGTACATGTCGTACAACGTGTTTGTAATCTACAGGAGTAAAGGTGGACTTGCGTGACAAACCTTTTTGTAGATTTGTATATGTGTACTTCCTATTGGAAAACATTTGTTGACATGATATTTAATATTTCAATAGAATTGGACAGCAAGAGATACAAGTACATTAAAAAAAGTTTTGGTTCACAGCTTTAAACCTAACAATTATTTAGAGCTTCTTTAATCCCATTAAAATCATAATTGGATCCAGGAATTAGTCACAGTGGTTTAAGCAATGATTGCACTATGCAACACAATTTTTGTTCCTGGGTATTAAGTGTTATTTCGTAATTGCTTATGCCTAAAAAGTATAGAAAATGGCTATTATTCCATACAAACTTTGTTTTTGTGACCAGGACAGTGATATTTTGAAATTTACCTATTTTCAATGAGAAAACAGGCGAATTTGTGTCTTTTCGTTCACATGAAGTCAGAAAAAAACATGAATCACAATTAACATGTATTTATACTAAATACAAAAATGACTACAAAATATTTACAAGTGAGTAGTTTTCCGAGATTTACAATTATACTGTAAATCAGTTTAACGAATCAGACCCCAAATGTAGTCTCCAATCATGTTCTCGTTATACTGTCCTTGGTAGCGGCGTTCAAAGTCCAGTATATCCTGGTGGAAGTGCTTGCCTTGCTCCTCCGAGTACGCTCCCATGTTCTCCTTGAATTTATCGAGATGAGCATCAAGGATATGGACATTGAGGGACATCCTACAGCCCATTGTGCCATAGTTCTTCACCAGTCTCAACCAGCTCCACGTAGTTTTCGACCTTGTGATTGTCCAGGAAGCCATGAACCACTGCGACAAAGCTGTTCCAAGCCGCTTTCTCCTTACTCGTGAGCTTCTTGGGGAATTCATTGCACTCCAGGATCCTCTTTATCTGTGGTCCGACGAAGACACCGGCTTTGACCTTTGCCTCGGACAGCTTGAGGAAGAAGTATTTAAGGTACTTGAGGGCTGCCGACTCCTTATCTACAGCTCTGACAAATTGTTTCATGAGGCCCAATTTGATGTGCAGTGGTGGCATCAGCAACCTTCCGGTGGTCCACCAGTGGCTCCCACTTGACGTTGTTCCTCACCACAGAGAACTCGGTCTGCTGTGCCCAGTCCTGCCTGTGGTAGTGCGCCTTGGTGTCCCTGCTGTCCCAAAGGCAAAGATAGCAGGGAAACTTGGTAAAACCGCCTTGGAGACCCATCAGGAATGCCACCATTTTGAAGTCTCCGATGACCTCCCAGCAGTACGCATCATACTTCAAGGCGTCCACCAAGGTCTTGATGCTGTTGTAATCCTCTTTGAAGTGCACCGAGTGAGCCAGAGAAAGAGACGGGTACTTGTTACCATCATGGAGCAGCATGGCTTTGAGGCTCCTGGATGAGCTGTCAATGAAGAGGCGCCACTCATTCTGGTTACAGGCGATTCTGATTGCCTCAAACAAACTGGTCACATTCTGGCAGAAGCAGAGCCCATCTTGACGGGTAAAGAAGCTGCAAAAAGGTTGATGATGCTTCCTCTGATCTGCGACTTGCACACTTTTATACAACAAGTTCCACTGCTTGAGCCTAGACGTCAAAAGCTCGGCATTGGACTTGGTGAGACCAAGATGTCTGATCAGGTCGTTGAGGTATTTTTGGTTGGGGTAGAATGGGTTTCTCTCCTCAGCTCCACCTCTGAAATTGTCATCTGGATCTACAACGTCTTCCTCGCTCTCTGACTTGCTGCTCCCTTCGAAAGACGGCTGCTCTGTCTCTGGAGGAGTGGGTATGGGGAGCTCATGGCATTGTGGCACCGGGGCGATGGATGAAGGAAGGTCACAATACGTGATAGTAGGTGCATTCTTGCCAGTCCGACGTTTGGAAGGGTCCACCATGCAGAAGTCGCAGTTGCTTGAGTGGTCAGTGGGTCCCCGCCAAATTCTTAGGATAGCGAACTTCATGGCACTCTTTTCCCCTCTGTACCATCCTACAAAAATACATTTATTTCACCCATGACTAATGTGTAAGAGATTCTCGCAACATTTTTCATGTATGATATATTTTTCAATAACACTGAAAATTGAATAAAAATTAAACTTACAATTTTAAAAATGTTAACAAATTTTATAACATAAAATTCCGAGCAACAATTGTCCATCTTACCTTCCAGAGTTTGTTTTTCATTGCTCGCAGGTGAAATGAGGTGCCCAGGGTTTGTCTTGATCCCCAACAGGCATGCCGAAATATGCCTTGTAGGCCTCACACATCTTAGCAGATGCTTCCACAGAGTACTTTTTCGCTCATGTCTTGATAAATTGGCCACAGACATCGCAAAATGCGTCTGCCGGATGCTTGCAGCCTCTTGATGCCATCTCAGAAAAATGCAGATATGTATCCACTTAGGCAGCTGGAACTAAACTGAAATGATGGGCTTAAGGCTCCTATATTTATACTACTCTTTATATCACTGGAAAGTTCTAGAATATTCTAGAAGTTACTCCAAGTTTACTCAGCACTGAATCTATATGGAATGTTCTGGAAAATAGGTAAATTTCAAAATATCACTGTCCTGGTCACAAAAGCAAAGTTTGTGGGGAATAGCAATTTTCAGTACTTTTGAGGCATAAGCAATTAGGAAATAACACTTACTACCCATGAACAAAAAAAGTGTTACACAGTGTTGTTTTATTACCACACTGCAGAAGGGTTACCCGTAATTCCGTGTGCAGCATTTTTTTCTTTACTTTCAGTACAAATTATTTGATGAAGTACGGTAATATCTGTTTGATTACTGAACGGGTTGTGTATTGGACAATATTTAGCAACAGGTGCAGTAACTACATATGCCAATTTCAATGCTATACTCAGGAAATATTAAAATAATGTATTCTTACCAGACCCCATGGTATAAAGTGTATTATCCAACTATTATACAATTCCTGGTCGTTCTATGTGCTATAAAGAAGGATCGTTGCCCGAAACGTCACCTGTTATATAGTTTTCCTTTGAAGGCCACACACTGTGATTTGTCATAATTAGTGCGACTTTTAACTCGCTGAACCGTCCCTACTGGACATCTGTGAAGAAGAGCTTCATAGCTCATCGGATTCCTCCAGCATAAATAAAGATTATGATTCTAACATGAAGACGCAAAACCAATTTCTATCCTCTTTGGTTCTTTAGGTAAAGCCACCTGATGACGGACGCTTGTGTTGCGCCCGAAACGTCGTGATTTATTTTATTTTATACCTACGTGACTTTACCGAAAGAACCAAAGAGTGTGGATTCCTGCAGTCACGAAAGCTTCAAATCAAGATTAAATTTCTATCTCTTACGGGCTTACGGACACAACATAATCATTTCGTAGGGAAAATAAATAAATATAAAAGCAGTCAATGCGTCTCCAGCATATATATCTCTCCACTTTAAAACAAAACATTATTTCCCAGACAATCCATAAGCCTCGTGGTCTTCTGGAACTGTAAAATGCCAGCAGCTTTAATTCATTATAACCAAACTCTGGTCCGGTCTCGACATTCAGTGTCCTACCAGCAGTTAAGCTTCCTTAGCACACCTCACCCCAAACAAACACCCTCATTATTATTATTCTTGGTTCTTTCGGTAAAGTCACGTAGAAGGTAAACAATAAAATAATAAAAATATAAAACAATACAATTCTCACGACGTTTCGACTGCAACACAAGCAATCATCATCATCAGGTGTGAAAACCACACCTGATATTATCATGGATATTGATCGCGAAAGCCGTGGGCAATATTCATGATCTCGTGCGCTCACGCCCCGTCTGTCACTTAATATTCATGAGGGATTTTGTAAAGCCGCCGCCCTTTTCATTAACATTAAAGAGCACGTGGTCGCCATCACCGCCTTCAGCCAACCACAAAGCGCACGTGCCCTCACAGCCCCCTCCCCACCCTCGCAGTTAATATTCATGAGCGGGTGCCCAATAAGCTGCGCTCTACTAATGAATATTTACAAAGGTGCGCTCGAGCCCCGCCCACTCGTCTATTTGAGCGTCGTTGAGCGCGTGCCGCCTGCACTGTACGCGGCTGGCGGGCTCCGTGGGCCCCGCGCTCCTCGCTCTGCGCTCCCTGCGGCGGCCCAGAGCGGGGTGGGTCCGGGGTTTCTCACCTCGCCGGCCTCGCCGGCCCGTGGCTCCTTCTGTCAGCGGCACCACCGCTGAGGGGAACGCAGCTCGGCTCCGCCGGAGTCCGGGCAGCAGCGACTGAAATCAGTCCCGGAGCTGCCTCGGGTCGGTTCGAGCCAGAACCCAGCTCGGCCCTGCCCAGTGCTGGTGCTGGTGCCGGACCTGCTGCAACCTCTGTTGTTGGTGCTGGGTGGAGGTGGTGGGGAGGCTCCGATGGCCGACCGCGAGAGAAATAAAAAGGCCCTGCACGAGCTGCTCCGAAGGCCGGGAAACGAGTGCTGCGCCGACTGCGGTTTGCCAGGTGAGGACCCGCGGGGGGGGGGGCGCTGCCCAAGCTCGGCAGCAGCCCCCCAGCAGCAGCCCCCCAGCAGCAGCCCCCCAGCAGCAGCCCCCCAGCAGCAGCCCCCCAGCAGCAGCAGCCCCCCAGCAGCAGCCCTGCGATTAAACGAGACCGAGAGAGGAACACATTTATTAGAGCACAGCAACGGGTCATTTACATCGTCCACATTATTCAGAGAAGTGGGCTTGAGCGGACACGCCACAGCTGCTGAAGGGAGCATGGACGATGGTCAGAAGTGCTGAAGTGGCAGCAGTCCAAGGAGTGAGGACGACCAACCGAGTGGATGGAGCGATTAGGTCAGGTCATGCGCAGGTGCTCGGTGAGCTTGGCAGCGGCGGCTTGGGAAGGCCCTCGTCTAGCAGTGGATTGATCATGGCTGATGATACCAGCCGTTCATTTAACCCCTTAACGTGGTGTCGGAGAGTGATGCACAGCTCGGCCAGTTCCACAGTGGTTGTCTTACAGAGGGCCTTGTAGGGAAACTAGGCCCCGCCACAGGAACGAAGAATGGCCAACCTTAAGGGCCGCCGGAGGAGATGAGCACCGCCCCATTGAAACAAGTTCTCAACGTTTCGGGCAGAGGCCCTTATTCTGTGGACTATATTTCGATAGCGAGCCCGATCCTCAGTGGTCTCTCGCCCGGTACAAATATAATGAGAATGTACTACTATAATTTACTAATATAATGGGTCAAGAATGTGTGCGATAATTAGCGGGTGACATCACTGCACATGGAAGGGGGGGGCGAGGCGCCGCCCCCCTCGGCGTCAACTGATAACCCTCAATCTAGATTTTAAGTTTTATAATTTTCACTACAAAGGCAGAACCCTCACGTCACGCGTTCTCCATCACACTGTTGAGACATCGAAGTAAAAAGGACATCATGATGAACCTTTAAATTAAATGTCTGTGTTACCGCGGCCTTACAAATTGCACGTGAATTGATGCAATAAATATCACGTCGCGGTCTGCTTATCGCTTGCAAGTTTCAGATTTACTGAAATACACCCGCCCTTTGGACGGGCAAAAGGCTAGTGATTTATAGACTTGTCAATCCACTGCTGGATGAAGGCCTTGCTACCCCGTGTCGGTCATGAGGGGTTTTGCTCGTTCCCCACCCTGGTCAGACCTATTATACTGATAGCCACTCGCCACTGATGCTCAAACGATGTAATCATCATTGGAACAGTGGTTTCAACACGATGCAGTGTTTCCATCTACACGTCTTTGTGCTGGAGATGCGAGACTGCGTGTGTGTGTTTTAATCTGGTATTTAAAACAGATCTTGGGATTCCCGTCGGCCAAATCGGCCTTAAATGAGTACCTTAGCGCGGTGTGTAAACAGCACTATGGTGCTAGCCACCCACCCCCTCGTGTGCTGTGCCGACCTTAATAGGTGCTCGCTAACAACACTGACCCCAAAGAGTCTGGCGTTAAAGGCCTATCGGGGGATCTTTGTTTTTTTATCTGGAAAAAGCGATGAAGCGTGGCCTCTGCATTACCAAAGGCCTCCCGCAGAAGAAGCAGTACCCTCGGGAGCCCCGTCGGGCCACCGTTGCAGCTCATTACTACTCAGAGGCGCAATCCGTCACACGCGGTGGCGTTGCCGCCCGGTAAAGACGAATGTTCTCACACCTGCCTGCCTTCCCCTCACGCTGTGGGGGATGACGCCCCTTCTCCCGTGCTCTGCCAATAGACCGGGAGGACAGCCTCATCCTTTCTCTTGGCTCCGGCTCCCCATGATTTCCTCAGCTCCTCTGCCCTCAGTCTGACTGGAGCTGTGCGGCAGTCTTGATATTAGCGATACGAGTTTAGTGGATTTGCTGGTATTTGCGCCATTCTGATAGCGTGAGGCTATCGCGAAGGAACAGGTGCTACTGTAATTTAATAGCAGGACACGATGTTGCTATGGGTATTCCCAATTGTCATGATTAAAATTTGACATTTGAAAAGATTTGGATTATGGCTTAGGTGCTCAATGGCTTGCAATTTTTCGATTTACGTCTCAGGATCTTTAACGCCCACTGTGAAGCATAACGGCGTAGTGGTTTACGGTTAATACACACCGCGAAAGTAACCAGGGCGGCCTGTCGGTCTAGAACCACGAACCTCTGCGGCAAGCAGAGAACACGCGATTGCTGGGCCATGTCACCGGCAGTTCAGCGCGCAAGACGCAGTGTTATCACTCTCTGGGCCTCGGTCTTGGCAGTACATTGATCGGTACTGTACTGTATATAAATTAGAGCAATGTGGTGCGATAGCGCCGCATGTAAGTCTGTGTCAACATTAAAAATTATGCCCTGCTCAAGTAAGCAACTGAAGCCGTGCTCATCTCCGCTTTACAGCCCTGAGCCAGTGGTGGAAATTCCACGTTCCTATAGTGGGGGTGAGTGTAATCCATAGGACAACCACTGTTGTTGTCGCCAGAAAGTGGTTCTCATATCGACCCCGTTGGGATGATTGTACCCGGTGCCATGTAGGGCGGTAGATTCTATTTTCACATGGCATTGACTCAGATTGTTAAACTGCTCATGGAGATTTATATGGTAATATGTGTGGTGTTTGTGGGATACATTATATTATTAGTGGCGCCTATTGTCTTGTGCTCACGTAATCTACATTCACTTCGTATTGGGCAGTACAGCGTAGTCACGGTTGTGTGACCTATATGTATGTGTTGAATCGGTAAGCCAACAAGTACTGTAAACGTGTACACATGCGCGTTATGCGTGAGTAATGGACGGAAGGTTTCTGTATCTCGAGAGTCGGGTCTGTGTGACTCAGAGCCAGACTTAACAAAATCCATACTTTCCATTTGGACTCTTTCCCCTAGACGTCTTAAGCTAACAGAAAACATGTGAGTAACACGTACATTAAATAATAATATAATATACATCCTTTTTCATATATATACGAGTAGTGGGTGAAACTTTTTCGGTAAACGGATATTAAAATATTGAACTACAGATGCAATAGTCGAGTTCATAAGCGTGCTGTAAACACGGTGGGAACACTGGCACGAGGCTGCTGAATAATTCGTGTTCATTAAAGCCAAGGACAAATAGCCTTAATCACCGGGCTTCCATTTAGAAGTAAGAAATATTTAGTTCAAGTCCAAATGACCAAGGTTTTATTCCATCGGGATAATAGGAGTTTCCGTGGACCGCTTTGAGGGAAGGCATAATAGGAGTGGATAAAGGGGCATGGATAGGTGTCTTTATCTTGTCCTATGCGAAGATTTTTTTTAAATCTAAAACAATCCAGACTTCTTTTGAAATTATTTGACCAAATTTTCCAAGTGCAACAACAAAGACCCGAGTGAATTGATCTGCGATAAAATATTTAAAGCGACTCTTGTATATGCAATATAAATTCCAAAAGGAATCTTCATTCCTCTGTTTATCTTCATTCCTCTGTTTATACGTGGCTAGAGTGGTTATGAGTCTGGCCGGGTGGTGCTTGCGGTGAGACTGCTTGATTCACCCTGAACGTCGTGAGTTGACGTCCTGGTTAAGAATTGCCTCACCACAACATCCCTCTCCCCCAGTAAAATGAATGCTGCACCATTTCGTGAAGATTCACAAGTGGTCCCCCGATGCAGAGGTTGGCCCCTGCTGCCATAGGATCGTGAAATGTCCAAGTGATTCGGGGCATTCCACAGAGATCGGCGCCACCCCAGTGATAAGCCAAACAAAGCCATGCAATGAAACTGGCATGAGCCAAACATCCTCGTGCTGGAAACTTCACTGAAAATTACTCTGTTGGTTTTACACACAGCAATACTGCGAAAAGTCGGCAGGACTCCTGAAAAAGTATATTGAGCCTCTGAGAGGCGTTTCTGGGTGAACGAGTACAGTATAACAAAAGTGATTATTAAAATAATCGTGATAAGACTGGTTACCTTCCAGCATTGTAAAGTGTTCCGTAAAGTAGTTACATTTATATTCTTAGCTCTTTCGGTAAAGTCACGTTGAAGGGAAACAATAAAATAATAAAATATATATAACAATAAAACATTCTCACGACGTTTCGACCATAACACAAACGGTCGTCATCAGGTGTGTCGGTTTGCATAAATGTATTTATTTTTAAATGGTGTATTTATTTATTTATAAAAACCGTCAGCGCCACGCGCAGCGATTTGGCACTTTATTTAGAAGGACTAGTCCATCTATGTTCTGAAAAGAGGAGGGGGGGAGACGAAAAATTAATGCATGCTGTCTGAAAGCCACTGTAAGCGTGAACAATCAATTAAGACCTGAAATGGTTTATCAAATCTTTCCAATGATTGCTAAGCCAGAATCCATCTTCTCGGTTGAAATTGTCTCTGCTTGTATATGTGGATAGCCTCATGAACGAATCTCTCATGGTAGCCAGATGGCTTACAAAGAACCTCTGTCTTGGAAAAGTCAATGTCATGTGAGCCTACTGAATTATAACAATGATCTTCCACGGCCGAGGTGTTGGTCCTACCGTGTTTTAGGTCTGCTTTGTGTTCACGAATGCGGTCCGAGACATGGCGTTTGGTATCTCCAATGTAACTACTACCAGAGGCAACTTAGTTTGTGTATATTCAAGATTTTGGAGATTTTTTTGTGATCCCCACAATGTAGGGTAAAGTGATGGTTTTGAAAGGCTCCTCAAGAGGGTCCTTCTTCATGGTTTGAGTGATAGCTTTGCGGATTGTATAGTCGGAGTAACCATTAGCCTTAAGAGCTTGGTGTACGTGCTTGAGTTCACTGCCTATGTGTTCCTGGTCGGATATGCATTGGGCTCTATGATACAGAGTCTTGATGAGAGAATTCTTCCTCCTCTTTTCAGAACATAGATGGACTAGTCCTTCTAAATAAACTGCCAAATCGCTGCGCGTGGCGCTGACGGTTTTATAAATAAATAAATACACCGTTTAAAAATAAATGTATGCAAACCGACACACCTGATGACGACCGTTTGTGTTATGA